TTGAATTAATGATTGTAGTTATATGTTAATTATATTAAACATAATAATAATAGTCTTGAAATTTTAATATATTTTACATAATTATATATAATTATACATATATACATAATTACTATCAGTAATATAAATACTTGATATTAGATGAATAGTTATAATAATAAAAAAGTTAAATAATATATATTTTTTATATATAGATGAATATTTAACATTTTTACTTATTTGTAAATAATTTTCAAATCTATATATATTTATATGTAATATAAAATTTGAAAATATAAAAATTAAGAAATTAATAAATTAAACTATCACTTGATATTAATACAAAACTTTTAATTTATCGATCGAATCATAAATAACTTCAGTTTTTTTTATCAGACGATTTTGCTTTCATTAAATAACAAAGTTAAATTAATTTATTATATATTCACCATTATTATGACCTTCTTCCATCTTCTTGGCAGCTTATCAATTTTTTATAAAATGTGGTTGATTTAAACTGCAAGAAATTTTCGACTGACTTGTTTTTCAGAATTGAAGATTTTTTTCAAAAGTTCAAAAGTTTCGCAAAGAACAGAAAAGGTGACAATCTGTTGGGACATCATCCAGGGAATAAGGTGGATATAGTAAAACTGACATTCAAGTTTAAAAATTTTTTTTTGAATCGACCTTACTGTATATGATTGTGCATTATCGTATAAAAGAATGATTTTTGCGATTGATGAGTGCAGGATGCTTTTCATAGAGTTTTTCTTTCACTCTTTGTAGCTGGTGAATGTATGTATCAGCAGTAATTGTTAAATTTAATTTCAAAAATTTGTGATGAATTATACCTCAACAATTCCACGATACACACAATAAAATCTTTTTTCTATGGATATTTGCTTTCGGATCTGATAAGGGTGGTTGATCCTTATCAAGCCACTATCTTTTACGGATAATAGGTTTTCCATCGCTTATATAATCCTGTCTAAAAAAGGCTCAATTTTTACCCGTGATAACAGACTTGTGATGATTGCGACATGCGATTTTTATTCTTCATTTATTCTTGCTAACTTTCACTAATTTCTTCAAATGGCGGCAAACAGTTGATTGTAATTCAACCTTCTTTTTATATCTCTTATTTGATATTTTGATATAGATTGATATAGATTTTGCTCCAATATTGTCTTTACAAGGTTATCGGAAGGGCGTCCTATCCTCATTTCGTTCTTTAAAGTCGTATCTCTAAAACGAAATTTGGCCAACCAAACCAATTTCTAACTGCTTGGTCGCTTATTAAACTTTCACCGTATACACTGCATATTTTTTCAGCTGTCTTCTTAGCACTATTGCTTTGTTTAAATTCCCAAAACATCACATGACGAATATGCACTTTTTGACTATTAAAAGGACTGAATTATTAAATGAAATTTACTTTTAAATTTACTTTATTAATATTTTTTTTTTTTAAAATGTCTACGTCTATTCTTAATAGTTATGAAATATATGTATATAAATATAAAATTATTTTTAATATGATGGAATTTCAAATATTTACTTTGAATAAAAAAAATTTGTTACTATATTATATTATTTTAAATACATATACAATATATTTTTTAATATCTTATTTTTTTTATTAAAAATTATTGATTAATTACATTTATTTTGAGCAGTAAAAATATATCAAATAAATACAAACATTTTTAAGTGTTGACATATTTAACTGTATATGAAGATATACAAAATATATACAAAAATATTGAACTTTGAGATGTTAAAGTCAGATATTTTTGTGCTTGTACTATTAGATTAGTTTTGTGAATCATGATGTAGAAATATTTAATAATATAAATTGATGGATATTGAATAAGATTATACAATCAGATTTTTTAATTATACACAATTTTACATATCAATTTAGAAATTTAAATAAAAATCCTGACATTTTTTATTAATAATAATTAATAGACTTAATAGATTTTCATTATATTTAAGATTTTTGTGTCCTTAAATAATTGTGATTCTTATAAGTTGTTTAAAATATTTTATAATGAATTTTTTTCTAATTCTTTAAATTTTATATTGTATTATGTTTAAATTAACAATTTATAAACAAAATTGACATTAATTTCTGATTTGATTATTACATATTTTTTTTAAAAAATATGTAATAATCATATAATAATATAAAATTTGAATGTTTTTTTGCAATATATTTTACCTATATCTAAAATTATATATGATAAGTACTTAAATATTTTATTTTTAAGTGTAGGAAAATTGCAACATATGTATTAAAAATGTTTAAGGAATTGCTTATTGATTAGAATTATCTACTGATTAAACAATCATTTAAAATATTTTTCAATGTAATTTAACTATTTTACAAAGTTTTGAACCTACTTTTATAAAACAACAGTGCTAAAAATCACATGTACATATATATATATATATATATAT